ATAAGCCATTCCTGACGGATGCGAAGATGCGCTCCGAGCCCATACTCGTGTTGAACCTGACCGTGACACCCCGCGCGAGGGTCCGGGTGATGGTGCCAGTGGCTTACCAGTGCTTTGACGCGACCGGTAACATGACCAACAGATTTGACGGCCAGCTGAGAGTCAACCCGGTGGGTGTGTACCGCATCTCCGACACCGCCAACGAGCTCTTCGTCCTGGGCTGCGACGCGTTCATCTACGCCGGCAGAGGAAGTCGACGACGCCAAAATCCAGAATCATACTCGTATTTCAGCGGGTGTGTGGCCTACTGCAACAGTACCAAGAGCGCGCGCGACCGAAAGTGCAATGGCGTCGGCTGCTGCCGCGTCGGTATCCCGCAAGCCCTCCTCGACACCAGGATGACGTTCGGCGATTGGCCGCATGCAGGCATGGACTTCAGCCCCTGCAACCACGCCTTCATTGTGGAGAGGAATCACTATGTATTCCAGGCCGCCGACTTGAAGAGGACGCCGGACCCGGCCAAGCCGTGGAGAATGCCGCTTTGGCTCGACTGGGCCATCCGCAACGGCAATAACTCCTTGTCATGCCCCCTGGCGAGAGAATCACCGGGATACGCTTGCGTGAGCAAGCACAGCGAGTGCGCGAATTCCACCAATGGGATGGGGTATTTTTGCAAATGCAAGAAAGGATACGAGGGCAACCCATACCTTGATAACGGATGCACAGGTAAGTAATTTCTATGAGTTTTGCTAATTCTCGAGTGCAAACGCAGTTGAATTTGCCTTTTCTTCCTTTTAGATTTGGATGATCAACTTGTCTTCATGTTTAATTACGTGTTTTATGTAGATATCGACGAGTGCAAACAGCCACAGTCACATTCATGCTTCGGCAAGTGTACCAACATGGATGGATCTTTCGACTGCAGGTGCCGACGAGGATTTCAAGGCAACGCCACCCAACCATTAGGCTGTGTCAAGTCCATACACACAGGTGAGCACCATTATACCTTACCTTCCTTCGATCAATTATGAAATACGATGTCACGATGTATTTATTTGGTGTCATAGATGTTGGTATATTTTTCTTTAGGATTGATCAAAACTTAAAGAAGTTTGACTTAAAACAAGCCTATAAAATAACCTTTTGGAAAGGAGGGAGTAGGTGCAAAGATATCATTCATTCCCAACCATATTTACCAACTCCCTTTTGTTTTCTTGAATGCAATCAGTATTCTCACGTGAGTAAGCTCTATGTGTATTAGCTCGTGAACCATGCAAAAAGAGTATACTGCATGAAAAAGAAGCTAATAATCAGTTAGGCAATGTAAAAAATATTCAAACTTCTGCTAAGAAATTTAGGTTGTAGAAATATATTATTGCAAGTGACAACAACCCCTAAATAAAATGGTTGTAGAACACAATTATATAAGAATGGAGTACCACCATCTGTTATAGAAGAAGAAAAAAATACACAATCAATAAGCAAGCATTTCATATCCATAGAAGAAACAAATAAAGCCATCTAGAATATATGTACAATTAAATGTGCCATGACACTATATAATTAGACATTGGTACTAATAGATAAATCCAATCCAAAATTTTGAAACAGAAGTCAAAACTCTCTCTGGCCGCACACACTCTTATTTGCATCATTTGCCTTGTGATCCACCTAGGATTTTGGTAACTTGCTGGTTATCGGACTTGTCGAGGTTAATTACTGGCCCTCCTATTAGTTGGGTTACTGGAATATGAGATAAATTTTGGTCAAAATTTTGAACTTTTAGAAATTTGAATTTGGTATAACCGGTTGATTATCGGTGTGCTGGTATCTCTCCTTTTACCAAGACTTTCCATCCTGGATCCAACCTCATATCTCTTCCCTCACTTATTTGAGTTATGCCATCTCAAACCCTAAATACATGCCCCATCGATCTGTTTTTTGCAGGTTTAATCATTGGTCTATCAGTTTCAAGTGGCCCAATTATTCTACTTCTGTTTATCGGCTCAAAGATAATAATTCGCAAGCTTAAACATCAAAAGGAACAAAAGTTGCGACAGAGGTTCTTCAATGAAAATCGTGGACAACTGTTGCAGCAATTGGTATCTCATAGGTCAGACATTGCAGAAAGGATGATCATCCCATTAAAGGAGCTGAAAAAGGCCACAAACAACTTTCATCCAACTCGTAAGCTTGGTGGTGGCGGGCACGGTACCGTATACAAAGGAATTTTGTCAGACTTGCATGTTGTGGCCATCAAAAAGTCAAATATTGTGGTCAAGAGTGAGATTAACGAGTTTATAAATGAAGTTGCCATACTCTCACAAATCAATCATAGGAACATCGTAAAACTTTTTGGATGTTGTCTCGAGACAGAAGTCCCTTTATTGGCTTATGAGTTCATTTCCAATGGAACCCTATGTGATTATCTTCATAAGACACCACTAAGATCAATACCATGGCAAGACATATTAAGGATTGCAACAGAAATTGGCAAAGCTCTTGCTTACCTTCACTCGGGTGTTTCCGTCCCCGTGATACACAGAGATATCAAGTCTACCAATATACTTCTTGATGATGCTTTGACAGCAAAGGTGTCTGACTTTGGAGCTTCAAGGCACATTCCTAGGGATCAAACAGGGATAACAACAGCGGTGCAAGGAACTTTAGGGTATTTAGATCCTATGTACTTTTACTGTGGCCGGCTAACAGAAAAAAGTGACGTTTATAGCTTTGGAGTAGTTCTTGTTGAGTTGCTTACGAGGAAGATGCCAATTACATATAGATCGTCCAAAGGTGATGGGCTTGTTGCACAGTTTATTGAACTACTTTCAGGAGGTAAATTGGAAGAAATACTGGATCCACAGGTCATGGAGGAGGGAGGTAGCCAAGTTGAGGAAGTAGCTGCTCTAGCTGTGTCGTGCACGAAACTAAGAGCGGAGGAGCGACCAACCATGAGGTCAGTGGAGATGACACTGGAGGCCCTTCAAGGACCCAAAGAGCGTGTTCGGGTTAGGGATGATTTACTGGCAAAAACAAATGAGGGGAGTTATTCGGCAATGAGATATACATCATCTATAAGAAGGACAAGCTCAGAGAACGTGAGTAGACAATATAGTCAAGAAGAAGAATATCTGCTGTCTGGCAGCTACCCTCGATAGTCTTGCTTACAGTTTACATGTGAAAGAGTTGTTCTGTGTAGTTGCTTGTTATATACCATGCGTGTGTATTGAATAAGTTGAGAGTTGAGACATTGTGGGTGCTTTTGTTGTTTCCTTAATCTGTGTGTTCGCAATCAGTTTCTATCAGTGAAGTTGATACTGATTGTTTCCATTATTATACTAACATAACAGAAACTTAGAAACAAAATTCAAGGTATACATATCGCTTACGAGGATGCCGATCGGAGACATAGCTAAGTGCGGGGTAACGGGCGCTAATTTTTAGAAAGTTGACACTTACAGTTTCGGCGTGACATTGCTGGAACTCGTCGCGGAGCAGGTGGCCAATGAAGCTGGAGCTGATGGTAATTTGGCGATTTGGGTGCACAACTTAACTGAGAAATACATGGAGGACAACTGGAGAAGTTCAAGAGTGAATATCTCCATGTGAAAATGGCTTTCCGATCCCAGATCAAACGCGGTACATGGAGGACATGGCAATTGTATTCAGGCTGGGTATCGATTGCCCCGTTGTGGATCCGCAGCAAAGGCCATCCATGCAGATGGCTCTCAAACGACTCTTGGAGACATTCTGTTACATTCTGCATGATCCTACCGCAAAGTTCTTCCATGAGAACACGTATGACCAGAAGCAGTTCCTGTGACGATCACACCATATGGAAGCCGTTTGGAGGGCCACTACAAACGCTACGTTTGGTTCAGGCCCGTACCAGGCAACTGTGCAGGGTGTGCGCCTGCACAGGGCCCCCACTTCAGCGGGGCCCCCAAATCAGTAGGAAGTACAAGTAATTAGTACGTATAAGCATTGGTGGTTAAATAATCAATGTTGGATGCAATGTACGAGTGCTACTATTCTCTAGGTAATGAAAACCCAGCCAACGAGACGCTCGCACGGCTCTCTCTCACTCTTCGTCTTCCTCCAACCACTGTCACAGTTCCTCTTTCTCAAGTCCTAAATCCTCGTACATCTTCACTCCTTGCTAATGTTCCACTCCTAATCCCTATAATTTTTCGCGATTTCCCCTCAAATAGTCCGTTGCGATGAACAACGTGATAGGTAGAGTTCCACTCCCAGCCTCCCATCTATTTATTTGATGGTCTGTTCTTCTCAAATCCTCATACTTGCAAGAGCTGCAAATCAGTGCTTCTGTCAACCTCCTTTGCCGTCTATTGCCAGCAATGCGACTTGTGTGCATCAGCACCAATTGGAGCATGTACTGTTGTTGGAGGCTAGGATCTCTTCGTCGCCGAATGCAGGCTCATCAAGAGAACCAGTCAGAGGCCACAGTGGCCCCATAGTGTGTTTCTCATATTAATGGAAGGCCACAGTGGCCCCATAGTACTCTTTTGCCACAGGCTACTCCATATTCACAACAGCAGCCAAAAGAGCAAAGGAGAGACAGTATCAGTATGTATTTATCCTCCAAACACAATCAAAGTTGAGATGGACAGATCATAGCATATCGCGGTCTCAGCATCTGAATGGAGTTCATGTGACAGCCTCAGATGACTAACTGCTGGTACAGATAGATCACAGTATTTCTCTCTGGTTAACCGAAGGAAACTCCGCTATTTAAATGTAGAAACACAAATGCTAGCTAGAGTCAGCTACATAGACGTTCGTTCTCAGATTGTTGGACCTCTCCACCACAGTTGATGAATGGACCTATTTAAAACTGCTAGTGGATACTATTACTGGTTTTAGCTCGGCATCCACAACCAGCCCAACATATATTACTGGTCCATCTAAGTTCCTATTTATTGATTAAGCTCTGCCTTTCCACTCTTGATCCCTAACATAGGCCCAAAGGCCCAAAGTCAGTAATGACCAAGGAAAAGAAAATAAATTATCCTTCCCTGGGTGAAGTTGTTCACCTGGAAGGCCTTGGAGATAATATCGTCATGGAGGCAGACGTGGTTCCGGCAATGGCGGCAGCTGTACACCCGCGGCCCAACCAGTTCCGCCATCTCTCTGCTGCAACCAATCCGATTCACCAATTGAATTAGGAACCTAACAACCACACAATGATAGTGGACAAGTACTAGTATGTGGTGCTCCAGAGTAGTAGAATACATAAACCGGAATGACTAAACGATGACTAATTACCATTGCAGATTACAAATGGCATGGAAATAACACCGACAGACTGGTAGTTTCAAAAAGAAGAAAACGAACTGCTATGTACAAAGGCATGGATGATCCATAAGAACATTTTGGCTGGCACATGGTTGGTTGAATCTCTTTTCCATTCCTTACCTATTCTTCTGCACGATCTTGTCCTTTTCAAATATGAACTTGCCTTCCTTGTACTTTTGGGATTCCTCGTAGGCTCTCTCGTACTTCCATCCGAGCACCTCGCGGCAGTCACGGCAGTGGATGTCGGCGACCGTGTGAAGCCCCGTCATGAACTGCCTGTCCTCCTTGGCCCCCGTGGTGATGTTCATGGCGTGAGAGGAGAGAAATGCGCAGCCATTCCTCCCCTATTACAACATCCAAAAGAGCAAGCAAAGGAGAGATAGTATTAGTATTGTATTTATCCTCCAAACACAATCAAAATTGAGATAGACAGATCATAGCATAGCGTATCGAGGTCTCAACATCTGAATTGTGCATATAGATAGATCACAGTAGTATCTTTGGTTCCCCGCAAAAAAAAAAGTAGTATATCTGGTTAACTGAAACTCCACTATGTAAGTATAGAAAAACAAATGCTAGCTAAACTGATCAGCTACAGAAACGTTCTCATATTGTATTGTCGGACCTCTCCACTGCAGTTGATGAGCCAATTTAAAGTCCCTAGCTAGTTGACAAGTACTTACTACTAGTAATTTTAGCATGACATCCCCAACCAGTATAGCATAACTGGTCCATCTAAGTTCCTATATTTATTGATTATTAAGGTCTGTCAACTCTTGATCCCGAACGCAGGGGCCAAAGTCGTCAGTAAGGACAAGAAGCAAATAAATTATCCTTCCCTTAGTGAAGTTGTTCACCTGGAAGGCCTTGGAGATGATATCGTCGTGGAGGCAGACGCGGTTCCGGCAATGGCGGCAGCTGTACACCCGCGGCTCGGCCAATTCCGCCATCTCCAACCAATCTGATTGACCAATCAAATTAGGAATCAAATAACTGCACAACCAAGCAGGGAAACCAGGTCCAATCTCTCAGGAAGGATCAACAAGGAAAGAACCCGCTAAGCCCAGAACGTATATGAATAAGCTAGGTATCTTCTTTGGGCATCTTAATTGATTCCATCTTGATCATACAAAAACTGAAGGTAAGGGATTATCTAATAATCCAGCGGCAATCAAGGTTTTGGTTGCCGAATGAAGCAATTTTACCGAGGGGGACTGGTAAACGTGGTTACCACGGTTACCAAGAAATACCGAGAATATTTCGAACGAATTTTATAGTTGAATTTTGAATTCAAATAAATGAATGAATGAACATTCGAGCCAAGAGACCTCTCAAAACAGGAACTAGGTTGCTACCAACACGTCAGAACCAACTCTCATGTCATTAATTAGATCCTACGTATTTTTATTTTAAATCGAGTGTTTAAATTCAAAAAATTGGTATGTTTTGCTCGGTATGGGGATTTATTGAGGGGCATGGAAATACGCGGTAACCATGGGAAATCTCGAAGTTTCGACCAGTAACCAAAACCTTGGCGGCAATGCAGAGTGTCCTCTTATCTTTTTTGTTTTGTTTCGTCACATGTTTGTTTTGTGCACTAGTGCTAGTCTGCTAGACAGTGAGAATCGGTAGTGGTGAGAATGTATAGCAACTGAAGAAGCCTCTGATTAAAAGAGGTGAAGCATACCTACCTTGAATGCTCCCAGAGTCCCAGTGGTGCGTCCTCCTTGTCCTTGAGTCCTTGGGCACCCGGCAGCAGTTCACCGGTGGTGTGGAGCTGGTTGCTGATACCCTTTGCGCCTCTTTGACTGAAGAAGCATCACTCGATGCGAAATTCCCCATGTCTGCAGCACCAAATACGGTCAGCAACAACCGAGCAATAAGCAGCAGCAGTGTGCTGCCGGCGCCGAACAGCAGGAGCAGCGCGGGGCGGTCACGAGCAGCAGCAGCACTTCGTTCATGCCGAGGACGCGGGAGACTACCTAGGGGCGGGGCCGGGCGGCGAGCTCCTAAAACCTAACCCTAGGTCGCCGCCGCGGGGAGAAGGGGATGAGCCTGAGAGGTGGAAGACGACTCACCGTGCGTCGCCTGGGAGGAGCATCGGCGCTTCCCCGCCGGTGGAGAACCGCCGCCGTGGAGTGCGTCGCCGACGACGGAAGGAAAAGCTGAGGCGAGAGAGATGGGGAACGATCGAGCTCCTCTCCACTCCAGTGTTTCAGTGTCAATTGGGTCAGCAGGGGCATTTACGGGATTTCACGTGGGGCCCACTTGTAAGAAAATGGCAAAAAGAAAGATTAAATTATACTCCAACTTGCACTAAAATCACGACGAATAATTTGAAACGGAGAAAGTACTAGTTTATGCTTTTAAGTGTGATGCCTCACCATTCATGTCTTCCATCAGACCTGAATCTTTTCTTAAAAAAAAAACTCTATTCTGTTAGAGCCCACAACCTGTGGTGTAGCATTTTCACATTAATTCAGGGGTAACCTCCATATCGCCCGCATGAAATGAAGTTCATTGCTTTCTATAAAATCATGAGGCCAAGAAAATACTGTTTTCTTTCAGACTTTTCTGAAGACCCCAATTGCATAAGATTTTTCTTAAAGAAACCTAGGGAGGAGATGGTCTCACTTTGCTTACGAGTGGAGGTTGGAGTCGTACACTAGTAGAAAAAGAGTCATTTGTCCCGGTTCTAGAGGGTCTTTAGTCCCGGTTCGAAATCGGGACTAAAGGGTCGGTACTAAAGGCCCCATATGAACCGGGACTAAAGGCCCTCCATGTGGCTGCTGTGTGGAGCTTCACCTAACACCAACCGGGACTAAAGGAAATGTTACGACTTTTAAAAAAAAATCCAAATTTTTTCCGATTTTCAAATTTCTAAATTATTTTACAATTTAATCTTTAATCACCCCTCATCACTACTAAATTTAACCTCTAATCTCTAATCACCCTTCATCATTCCAAATCATCTAACTTCCCGGCCGGTCACACATCCTCTCACTACTCCAGCCTGAACACGCTTAACTTCTGGGTTCTATTCCCCCTCATTTTTCAAGTCTGCACTTGTTGCTTTCCTGACAATAGTAAGATGTCAATCCTGTTAACCCTGAGGAGTTTAGCTTGAGCATGAAGTCACACGTTTCACTGTTTGAGTTTGAAACTATTATTCTAAAAAACAATAATTATTTAGTAACACTAATATTTCTTGAGTAAGTAGTTTGACCACAGTTTGACCAAAATTCAAAAAAATTTGAAAATAATTATTTAGTAACACTAATATTCTTGAATAATTATGTAGTAACACTAATACTTCTTGAATAAGCAGTTTGACCAGATTTAACCAAAATTCAAAAAAAAACTTGAAATTTGAGCATATCTTTTTTTCCTTTTGGAATTTGAGGATTCTAAAAATTTGCAAACAGACCTACGGTAAATCGGATGCAGATTTTCGTGCTGAACATTTTGATATATTATACTTTTTTTCGACATCATATGCAAAAGTTATACCCATTTTACTTTTTCATGAAACTTTTTTGCAAAACATGTCTAAATTTAAGTTTTTTAATTTTCCTAACTAGTAGATATAGTAATATAACTACATCTCGAAGGATTTTATTTTTTGAAGCTTTTATCATTTTCTTTTGTTTTTTTTTAAAACTGAAATGACGATACACGGGGGACGGGGGGGTAGAGTTTGAGAAATGGCCCTTTAGTCCCGGTTTGATATACGTACCGGAACTAAAAGGTGGGACTAAAGGGCCCATTTAAACCGGGACTAATGCCTTTAGCAGCTCGAACCGAGACTAATGCTCACATTAATCCCAATTCGTAATGCAGCTGGGATTAATATGTATATTGCGCTGTGATAAGCCTTGTTTTCTACTAGTGGTACATAGGAGCTTGTTGGTGTCGACGGAAGAGATGTGCAGCTCATTCCTCACGTGGTGATGGCAGTGACTGATTCATCGAGCAGAATTGGGGATGGCCAGACAAATTGTTGACGACGAGAAGAACTTGAGGAAGGTGCAGAGGAGCGTTGGGCTTCTTTCCCACAAGGAGCGGCACAAAAATGCTAGACCTAAGTTACGT